GCTAAACGCTCGTATCATCTACTGGTAGGTGGGCCAGGTGCCTTACGTTACGGCAGTGGTTTCTTTGGATGGTTCGAACGATGACTGACCGGGTGATGCCATCCGGTCTGGGGTGCACCTTCTCAATGCAACCAAGGTGCCATTGGAGCTGTGCAAGATGGTCCTCCTTTAATAGTACCTCGTGCGAACCTCTGGATCATTTCTGGCAGAGGTTGAGTTGAAGATGATATCCTTCGTACCAACTTGACCAGAAGTCCTGCTTCACCTTCTGGATGTGCTGCCACTTGGATAGCCAATTGGCCAGTGTTACAATGAAATCCGCCTCCGGTCGGCTCAATAACGAGTTTAAGGTTACCACAAAAATAGTGAGCATTTGTATACTTGAGAGCAGTTTCAGATCCATTACGAAATATAACAGTATGAAACATGCTTTCCTGCGGAAAAAATTTTTTAATCATCGGGGTAGTGTTAATAAATTTTTGTTTTCCTCCAAATTTTGTTTCAAATATTTCTCATATTATTCACCATTTGAGCGGTTACGTTATACAAATTGAGTTCTGCCCTACACTTAACTCACTCTTCGATAGAGTATTCTGTCAGTTATATGTTTATATTCACTTGTAATATTGGTAATGCTGTAGAATAGATTTTTAATAATGAATCGTACCGATAAGTTGTTTAAAACAATGAGAGTTATTAAATGTCATCATTTAATTAAGTCGCTTTTCATATTAGTGTTTATAACATTTATTAGATATTTTGATATATCATTAATAATTTAACAGATTCATAGAGGAAAACTATTACATATTTGCTATTTGTCTGTATCACTAATTTGTGGCCCAATGTGTAATACCATTTCATTCACTAGCAATTAGTTTCTAGTTAACGTAATCCTCAAGACATTGCAAGTAGTACCGATATGTAAGATGCTGAAGCTTTCATCATCTAAAATTATAGAATAATATTATTAGGTTCGCTAATTAAAATTTTGGCCTTTGAGAATAATTTATTATGTAAGGAGAATATTATTACTATTACTAAAAATGCTTCTTATAATTGTGCTATATTTATGAAAAGTTATTTTATAATAATTATGATTGAAGTTTATGAGGTTTTGAAAGTTTTTGAAATATCATTGAAAGACACACAGATATTGTAGAATGTACCATTTCATTGCTTTTATATTATTATACTCAAATTTCAGTTCTTGTTTAAAATTATATTTATAAAAAAACTAGTTAGTAAAATATTTTCTTCGTCATAAGAAATCAGTATTATGAAATGCAGAATAAAGAACTTACAGATGTGAAGCTTTCCATGGACAGCTTTGCAAATTTTCCGCAAGTGAATGTAAATCCTTTTTGAGACCTTAATATGACAGGTATCAACATTCGGCTTTTGTTTGGGTGTAAGTTATACCAAAGAAATTCGTAAGCCGTGTCACCGATAAGTTTACTCTAAAATTGAACAAAATTTTACGAAAAATGTATCAACATTTCCCTTTAAAAGTCGTTATTGCCACAGCACATATGAAAAATGTTAGTGTGAATAAGGTTTAATGAGTGAAACTCAGTTGTCTATCATTCTGTAATCTATGATATAAATATAATATTTGCGAGTGCCGTCAGTGTTAATGCTGTTTGGAAAACTGTGATCTCAACACTCTTCCTTCTCACCTCTGACACTCTGCACAAACATTCTTCATTCGTATATACACATATAGGCCTATCACCACTCTTAATTCGCACTACATATTGTTATCACCATCATAATAGGACTGTAAATTTTCCTTTTACGAGTGTAAAATTATTTATGTGATGTATCTTCATTGACTTCAACTGAAATAATGTACTGATCATGTTACGATGTTGCATCTAGATCAACATTATTGTTCAACAAGAACATAATATATTAATTTAAACTGAACATTTCAACTCGAAAATAGCCTTTCTCTACTATCGTGCTATAAATGTCAGTAATACTGACTTCACGACTCTTTTATGTACACCAAGACCCGATAATCCGCCGCGTAGCAATGGATAGTATTTGAGGTATGACACTTATCTTCCTGAAGTTGATATTTGGAAGTGTAGTCTTCATAAATATTTTTTACATTTTACGATCTTGAATATCACAATTTTGATTACGAAGATTGGTATAATATTGTTTTGCATTGTTTAAATATTGTTTTGAAATGTTATGAAGAAGATTTATAATCAATTTTGTCTAATACTGTCTGAAACTAGTAGATCTGTCTACTACTATATACAAATTTATATTATTCGTATTAAAATGTCTCCTTTTCTAGTGATATTGTGTTACATATAGATCAGTCCTTTATCGTAAAGTGTAACTAGTTGCATCAATTAATTCTTTCTCGATGGCGTCCATATATTTTAATTCATGTGTAGTGTCATTTTAGAAATTTGCGATCAGTTTGCATATTTCATTTTGAATATTAAATATTCGGAAATCGATCATTTCGAATGTTAATCATTGAAATATGCACGTTAAAGTGTAGTAAAATGTAGACAAATGTAGTAATATGAGAGTTCTTGGAAAATAAGTAAAGCTAGAAAATAATTTAAATATTCACAGTAAATTTATGACAAATTGGCACTATCTGTTAGTCACGAAAATATTTGAAAGTAATGTATAATAATAGTTGGCAGCAATATTAATTGAAAAATATAAGTTTCCAATGTCGTTGATCCATTTACCATTATGACAGGCTTAAGACGACTATTCAATAAGTCACTAGGACCACCACGGCTCGTACTTGTACTAACAGTAGGTATACCATAAATATCGAATATATTGCGGAAATATATTCTAGTGTAACAGATCTTAAGCATTTCTCTTCGTTATATGTACAATATGGATTTAAACAATTCGGTTTATTATTTAATTATCATTGATATTCAAATACGTGTGAATACATATTCAAAAATTATACTCATTATCAGAATATAAATAATTGGCTAACCTTGGCACTGAGATATTCTCCAACAAAGGAATATATAAATGCCTCCAAGCAAATCGAAATGCAGAACAGAACACATTTTATCAACATACTAGTCTCGTTAGAAGCGCTTAATGTCTGCAACATAAAACTACTATTATATATGTACTTAAATTATTTACAATGTGGTAAAAAGAATGTTTGAATGTTTTATGTATAGCGTGGTATAGTGTACAGGGTGATTCTCTCGCAAATGAATTCAAAGGCAGAACCGGCTATTTAGAAAACCTTAACACATCAAAGTTTATATCTCATACATAGACAAGAAAGAATATTTACTTCAAAGCAATATTTAGTATCATTTATGTTATTTGTATATTATATAATTATAATTGTATACAGATGCCGCTGCTTTTGAATTCGCTATGTAACGAATCACCTTGTATAACATACATGTATAACAAAAAACATATTTCATATAATTATAAGTATACATTTAAAAAAATCACATCTACATATCTACATGAAAATGCATTTTCTGGAAAAATGTTGAATAAAGAAGATTTTAGTTACAAATTGGATATACAGCTGTTCAATTTATTTTTAAAAGGTCAAACGTTTTCAAGGCTGCTTGTTTCTTCAAATAGAAATAGAAATAGGGAACAAAAATAGTTTAGAAATAAGCACTAAAATTCTTTTAGTAGCCAAATCTCAAATGCTGATCATTTCGGGATCCGATATTTGTTTATTGTGCATTGTAATTAAACTTCCATATTGCCTCATGTCACGGGACACGGAGCCTCGTTCAAAAACCTAATTCAAACTATTAGGCTTCAGCACTTGGGATCTGGCAGATGAGTCATAGTAGGCCGGGGCCAGGTGAGGTGTCTTCAAACAACCTCGACTTTCCCCATCATAAATCGCAGTCGTAGTCACCTCTCGGGAGGGGTCACCTTCAGAGGGCCTAACCCGAAAAGTGGAGTTTCCTTCGCCTCTGACCTTGGCGTGGCGGCAGTTTCTCCTCCTTTGGGGAAGGCGCTTGCCTTCGGGACAAGCTTAAAAGGGCCCGTTCTGGGAGATAGAGATAGTCACGAAGAGATAATCAATCAGCTAGGGTTAGAGAGTACAGTTAAAGTCAGTCATGAGAATAAAGTTGCGAAGTTAGTCAGTCAGTCAGTCATGAAGTTAGTCGTCAGTGTTAAGCTAAGTCGGCATATATAGCAGCTGGAATCTGTGTGACCTTCTGCGATATACTCGATATCACGTAATAAATACAGTCTTGTCAGAAATTCACGGAGTAGCGGCTTCGTTATACTTCATTTACTATCTGCATTTTAATCTCTACATATACGTTTTCATTTACAGATATTTTGTACGCGACATTTTTCCAGAAATTGCATTGCTTTGAGAGATGTTTGCAGATCGTGGACACACTGCTGACAAATCGTTGTCAGATTTTTGACAGATACTAGGTTTACAAATAAGCAGTATCTATACACATAGATATTATTGTGTAACTGTGTTACTTACAATTACAATAATATAGCCCAAGCCACAGATAATCAAAGTATTTATTACCAGTTGACTAAGTGCTATATAAGTAAAAAACTGTTCAATTCTCTCGGAAAATATGATAATTTCTTGATGTCTGCTAACGAAGAATCTTAGTTTCTCTTCATTTGTATAAGGTGCTTTTAATAATATCTGACACATAATATCGATTTGGCAACCTAAATGAAGTACCTAAATGTAATGGTTTAAATATTATAAAATTGTTATAAAAAATAAACATGAAGGGAAATAAATATCAATAATAAGTTGAATATTATAAACATAAATTAAGAAGATATTTCCATTAAATGATTTAAGAAACTTTACTTTCTTTATTCAGTATTCTTGAATATCGATCTTTTTATGGTATTTTAAAAGTTTCTGAAAAAAAATAATTATTTTCTTAGAATATGAAAATATTTATGTAAACACTTTTTTACAACTTTTTTGCTAGACAGTAATGTCCAACCAATGTATGCCACTGTTACATTTATTTATGGTTATTAATTAAAATCTTGAATCACAGAATTTTGAAAGTATGAATCTCCTACTTATAACAATAATAAGTAAAATATATTATACGAGATACGTTGCTTATATAGTATCTTATGATATCATTTACACCGTTTACAGATAATCGACGAAATATGAGTTTACATACTTGACAGCATTCTGAAATAACATCAAAAATATATATGTAACATCTGTTAATAATAGTACGTATAATGACATACAGTAATATTCGCACATATTTTGAATTTGTAATTAAATTATGTATTTTTAATACTAAGCATTTTTTTGAAAATTTAATAGTTGTTTGAATATGTCAAATTGGATACCACTTACACGTAAAAAAATTGTAACAAATTATTTTCTGCTACTGATTCACATTATTCGGTCTGAGTTATGATTTACGTTATGTGTTAATATACCTATTATACCATGATATCGACTTGATTCTACATTATGAAGTAATTGCTATGAAAATTGAAATAATTCTTATTATACCCAAAATTTCATATAAATACCTTCTTAATTTAAGGAATATTTATAAAATATTGTACTACTAACAAGCAGAAAGTCTCACAAACCATATTCTATCATAGTGCGTTACATCCATAAATTATTCTCTGTCTAATTAACTATAATTTCTTTACATTGTATCAGATGATAATATTTATTTAAATTAAATGGAATTCTACATTTCAAACAGAATTTTATCTTTCAAGAAATTTCCTTTAACCCATTTGCATCCAAGCGCGGAATATTCCGCGAGCCAGGACTGTCGTCTATCACCGAGCGCGGAATATTCCGCAAACTATGACGGTCGTCTATCACCGAGCGCGGAATATTCCGCGAGCTATGGCTATCGCCTATCACCGAGCGCGGAATAATCCGCGAGCTGACTTTTTCCATTACCAGTTGCTGAATATTCTTCATATGCCACAGATCACGTTTGATCCCTTTTGCGAGCATCTCATCTACATCGGTTCATTATATTCTTAACAAGTTTTATTTTTGTTGTGAAAATCTTTTTAACTGCCATTATGAGTAGGTAGGTGCTGATACGTGCGTGGTGATACGGGCTAGCCGTCAGTTGAACGTCGCTGATGCCTGAACACGGCAGCTTAAGTAGAGCCATGATGCAAATGGGTTAACTGGACATGTCTCGTAGAAAGGAATTAATAAATAGTTGAAAATTGATACTCACTAACATTAAAAGTAAAGCGGAGAAAATGCCATACATAAAGGCACCTGATATTTGATAAAAACATTGGATAATTATAACAAGCTCGTAAATAAGCCATCTGTTGGTTTCGAAAGGCAAATCCATTTTTAACAAAAGTCCTCGAGATGGTATTGCGTTAAATGAATGATGCGTCAAGGTACCAATTGCATAACACAACGCAGCTGCCATGTAGAAACAAATTATTACAGTCGTCAAACGATGCGACATATGCACTGTTTTTGATATTAAATTATTTGTATCCACAGCAGCATATTTTTGGCACTCTTCTTTCATGGTAGTTAAAATATTTCGAAGTAGGCTGTGGAGAATCATTTTAGATATGTGTTTATGCAAAACTGCTGTTTGTGCTTACATATCAACAAATTTATTAACTAAGTGTATTCTTGGACAATGATTAGTTCAATTGATATTATTAATATTACAGCAACTAGTCTAGCACACGAAATTACATGTATCTGTCACAAAAATTCCATAGTTATTATAACTTTATTGCAAAATTGAAAACACAGAATAGATGACGTAAATATGATTCATGTGTATACAATATTTAAAGAAGAAGGCATAAATTTGTTAGGAAAATGTAAACACGTATAATTAAATTTATTATAAAGATTTAAAGAAATGTATCTGTATTTATGATATAACGTAATTAAAATAAAAATATTTCATTCGTGCTGAGATTTTTGATGATTGTCGAGTGACCAATTCACATGACAAATGTTAAGTAATATGAATGAAATATATAAAAGTAAATACGTAGAATTAAGAAATAAGCATTCGTAGCAAAAAATTAGGATACAATATAATTCGTTTATACTTTCTAAACAATCTATTATAAACAATTTTATGCATGTAAATATTTCTATAATGTGTACTAAAGGCATAAATAAGGCATATCTGTGTAAAACTATACAAAAAACACTATAACAAATCTCATATATGACAAAAATTATGTTATAAAGTTATATTCAAATACAGTCAAATTATATTCTTCATATGATTTAAAACATACGAAAGACAAATTACTGAAAATGTTCAAGCAACATATAACTAGGGATATTCGAAGTGTTAGAACTAGTATCTCTTTCAATAGAGAAACATTCACAAATGATCCCATATAATCAAATACACCATAACGATTTCATAGAACAATGTAAAATACTACACTTTCATCGGTGACAGATAAATACACCGATCAAAATTATTATTTTCATCTACTATCTCTCAATATATAAATATAGTTACCAATACACGTGATAACCGATTAACTAGTAATAGCTACATATTAACGTAGTATAATAATAAGACTAGAATTTTCTTGCTTATAGTCAACTATAAGATGTAATAATAAATAGAATACCATAAAATATAATTAACCTTCTGCCTTATAACTTTGTTTAGTAACTTTTAGTATAGTAATTTAACATTTGGAAATAGTTTCAATTCACCATATTGAAGATGAAACGAACGTTAAATACAAACTATACAGAATATTTCAATATCATGAGATGTCAATAAAACAACAAACAGTTCGCTCAAGTAGCTTCTGAAAGATTCACAAATCAAAGGATTAAAAGAAATAAAATATAATACAAAATATCGCAATACATTTTTGAACACTCCTTGATCTCTTGCGTTGCAATATCGAGTTTATCCCAGCGCACGTTCTTCGTGTCAAATCAAACGATTAGAAGCTACTTTTACCACGCGACCATAGCTATATATATAATATATTTAAGATATGAGCCGTTCACTGCACAAATCGATTAACTCCACTTTTTGAAAAATCTTAAATTTAAGTGTCAAGCACTTGGTATAGTTATAACTTTTTATATTTATGATAACTTTCCCACATAATTAAGATTAACATCATTAAACGACAAAAATTTTTTGGCCACTGAAGAATAAATAATTTATTTCAGAGGTCACTTTGATTAACTCCGTACTCTAATGTAAATCTTTGCAATAATGCAACTTAAATGCACTAGCAAGCCATGAATGATAACGGTGAATTTTTCAGTGTCGTCTAATCAGAATTTAAGTAAAATAAATTAGTCAGTCACAAAGCCACACAGTTTGAAAAATCTAGAACAGCATTTATTATATCCTAAAGGTAGAACTGTTACAAGGGGAAAAAGGAGAGACATGATGAACCTGCTGAAATTTACTGCTTCTGTTAAACATGATTACTATAAAAACTGGAGAGCAAGTCGAAGTTACGAGTCCTCACATACAGCTGATGAAGAAAACATCATTTATTTTGCAGAAGAAAGTTAATCACAAATAATAATATATTATAACAGAACCATTAATATTCATTTTTATGAAAAATCTGTAATAAAAATATCGTATAATTTTCTTTTTCTGTGTTAAAAAACTTAAAAATCTAAACACTGAATTTAAATTTATTACCTTTTTCACTTGCCAAATCGATTAACTCTTCCAGTAACATAAAAATGGATAACATTACCAACGATTACCTTTTGGTTATTTTTTCTTATAAATTTGATATACCTGTTCCGTCCCGGAGAGCGTGTTTATAACATAATTTTATTCTAAGGCTTACACTTTTTCCAGACTTAACGGTCTATTTTATATTTTATACCGCGACTGAAATTCCGGAGGTTCGATGTGCCTCAACGCCGTTCTAGCGGATTAAGCGTACAAAGATAAAGCGAAATTTAGGTATTTTACTAGAAACCAGACGCGACAGATGGGACCCACTTGTGACAGACCCAACAAGCGACGGACGGACGACACTTATAAATCACGTCATCGACCATCAGAAATCGGCTCCTTGACAGTTTCCTACTCCTTAGCCAAAGGTCCTTATGTCACACCCTCTGTCCAATTAAAACTCTTTACCTTTCCACCACCAACATCTATTTTACCCAATCAGAACTAAACTAGACAAAACTCCGGACCGAACACGACGAGACAGGACTTACAGCAAAATCGACGAGTCAGTTCG